TTACTGTCCTATAGTACACATTGGAATGATTTCTTACTTTATTTTGTACAACTTTATTAAATAGATAAAGGTTTGCTCTCTCTCTTGCTCTCTCGCTCTCTCTCTCTCTCTCGCGCTCCACATTGCTTTTCTTCCCGACTGCAACGCTGTTGTGTGTGTCTGTGAGAGCGTTTCACATGTGTGTATGAGAGATTTTTACCAGTGGCAAGCCTGTCTCTGAGGGCCTAAGATATTCTACAAAATAATATTTAAAAACATTAAAACAAATTATATTTTTCTTTATATATTTGTTTTAAATATGTTTTTAGTAATATTTGTCATTAGTTTTACCAAAAATAACTTGATTAAATTGTATTTAAAATAACATTTCCAAAGAAATAAATCCTTTGAATCTGCCTATTCAGTTTCTGTTTGAATGTGAAGGGTTAAATGAAAGAAGCTCGTCTCTGCGAGGTGAAGACAGGAGCTGTTGGACGTCCAGCTATGAATTCACAGAGGGCCAGCTATAGTAACTGAACGAGAGAGTAATGTCAAATGACAGTACAATTGACCAATCATATCTTCCCTCTAAATGGGTGGGCTTTCTTATCGCGGACTTTATGACAAGTTCCGCCCGCTGTGAAACGTTTCTTGTTTCCATAGCAACAACAACTGTCAACAGCGTAAACTCGCCTTAAAAAAAAAAGCATGCCAAATTACACTTAAGACATACAACTGCAACGAAAGTAACAAACACAATGCAATATCCTTTTCAATTTCAAAGAACACAAATTGGGTTATTTACAGGTGTTGTTTTGTGTGGTAGAGGGTCGCTTTCATTGATGCGTTTTGCACCCCGGGCGGGCCGTTGTTTTGATATTCCACCAGTGTGAGAAAAAAAAAACAAGAAAAAAATATATATATTTTGTATTTCGCGACCCTCCTATCATATCTCTGCGCCCCACACTTTGAGAAACGCTGGCTTAAGGGAACATGTACAGTGTGAGATCCTTGTTGCTGGTGTCATTGGGTTCATGCTGTAATAAATGCCCACACCGGGTTATATTTGGGAAGTCTGCCTCTGCCTCCTTGCTTGGTCGGGCCGCTCAATTGTCAGCTTCACACTCCTGTAGCCAAAAAGTTGATCCAGTTGTATTGCTGGCTCAGGGGAAATACTGGGATCTGAACTCCTGATATTCAAACGTACTGATACAGAACAGAATCACATAAATTGTTGGCGGAGGAATACATCTGTCATTATAATAATGGTTGTTATGATTTTGTTTAGAGACAGAGAAAGTTTGTCTCAAAGAACCCTGATGGTTCCCAGACTCCACTTTAAATCCTCACTGATGCTGTAAACATGCTCTCTAGCCCTCAGTGCAGGAGTGTTTAGTTGCGATGGTTAAACTGGGACTTTCTAAGGATCACCTGAAACAACCACGAGTCCCCAATTCCCTATCCATCCACATGGGATCCATTGACGTGAATACAAAAGATAGCGCCTGAATCAACAACAGATAAAGACCTTCTAAGAAACCCAAATAAATGTCAAGAAAGTGAAAGATAAAGCAAGGATTGAGACAGATGTTATGTCTGTGTGCCCTCCAGGAACAGTGTTGGCTTCTTTCATCATTATTTACTGCAGAATGAGGACTGTTTCTTCCATCACCTCGCGCTGATATCAAATACAACTAAAATGAATGTCTGACCTCTCAGCTTTCCAGGAACTGTATAAAGTTGAAAATGGGGAATTGTTGAGTTATCAAGTTTTCACAAACTTCAGTGTGTGTACATTTGTTTATTAAAGGGACCCTTTTTTGAGTTCTCCCTTGCCTGTAGTGTGTACTATAGGTTTTTGTGCATGTAAATGGTCTGCTAAGGTTAACATCTTAACAACAGGGAGTTTGGAAATGTTCTCTATATTCAGCAGGCAGTAGGCTATATGTATATGCAAATATCTGACTCTCCTTAAAGATGTCTCCTGTTGCTAGGTGAGTCCAAAGCGTATTGTCTCCTAGCAACAGCAGGATCCACACCTGACACGCATATGCATAGTGCTTTTGTTTTACACAAATGGACAGAAAGGATGCAAACCCAACTGAAAATATGCCCAATTCTTTATGCTAATCACTCTTCAGATAAGTGGCTTTACTTTCTGCCTCCTGTAACTGTAAACAGTATTTAAAGAACTTGTTTGACATTTTGGAAAATATGAGAGTTATATATCATTTTCAGTGAAAATTGTAATATTAATGCAAAACTGTTCATTCCTGGTAATATTCAGATTTTCTTTTTACTGATATTGCAAAATGAGTCAAAACAGTCAAAAGTATATTTTATAAAATTGTTCAGCCTTTAGTGGCACCACCCTCTGAACTGGAGCCGAGCTGATCCTGAATTGCATGAAGCAGGCATTTGTTCCACAGAGATAGCAATACAGGAAAATGAAATCTCATCCGACTTTCACCTGGATACAAGGAAATAAAATGTGCAAATTAGGCATTTATCTTCCTGCCTTTGGTCAGAGCACAACATCATGAAACAAATCATGAAACATGACTCCTAAGATAATCTCTGTATCAAGCCAACTGCTGCTGGTTAACAGAGAAACAGCACATTATTTTGTGTTTCATGACAAACACCTGTTTTTTTTATTCCAGTTATGAGTAAAACGTTCCAATGCGTTTTTGGCTCGTAAGTATTATACCGTAGAAGAACTTTGGTTCAAAACTAAGCTTAGTTGTTTAATTGAACTGACAAAATTCTGTTTAATATACATGAAGTCGTAAATAAACCCCCTATTTAGGTTTTAACCAATGTGAGCAGAGAAAGAAGAACACTTTGTAAGAATTATGCAAGACTTGCCTAGGGATATCACTGAAGCTTCTTGCAGCTAGGAAAGAAAATACATCTTAAACACACATGCTGATAGTCTCGACACTATCAGCATGTGTTGACTGGCCAAATGAAGGGATTTAAATACCCACAGACTGATGGGCTGATGGCACAGGACTGGGTCATGTTGATTAGAGGCAGCTGCAACTTTTGTTACAACCACTGTTCACACTGAATTAATAGAACATTTTAGTTTTGCGTCCATTGACTATCACCCAGGGAATAACAGGTCAACGCTAACATCCAATGAAAATTGATTTTGACAGATGTAACATGTAAGTCAACATTACCTCTTCCATTCAATTAAATATTTTCCAAGGTGAGGTCACAGTTAGCTCCCGTGTTTTTGTTTAGTATTTCAGGGTTTACTTACTATTGTTATTATTCTATGCAACAGTCATTTGGGTGGTAGAATGGTTGTCCACAAAACCAAGGTTCGATGGTTTGATAACCAGCCTCTGCAGTCCAAAAGTGGATGGGTGGCAGATTCCTAACCCCAAATTGACCCCCAATAGCCAACAGTGTGTGCATGGGTGTGAATAGTTCTATTCTGACTTGTACTATATGTGAAAGCACTATGAATGATCACAAAGACTAGAATTTGGTTGTTTTAGATGTCGGCAAATTGGGAAGTTTGAAAAACTGCATTTCGCACAGCAATACAATTACAATTTAAAAACATGCAAACACACTATGCAGTTAGAACACATTGTATACGCAATGTTACTTTGTACGTGTTCTCTAGCAGAGACTTGAACTGTACTGCTCACCTCAAACGCCATGATTCATTATGCTGGCGTCTGTTTAAAAGACAACTCAGGAAGTCAGTGGGTCAATACAGGCCTGAATACAAGACTACACAAACCAATACCAATTACTGGAAAACTCAGTGTAAAAACAAGCAGGACAACTACCATCGCAGGGTTTATTAAGCATTAAATGACTCATTCTCTTTTAATGAGTCCATTCAATTTACCTGCTTCAATAACCAAAGTGTCCAGGGACCGGGTCATTGGTGGTGCTCCTCATTAGCAGCGTCATTAATCCATACACTGATGACTAACTGCACACTCTAAAACTGTTTTTAAGATCACTGTTGAAACACTGAGCTTCAATGGCAGCTACCAGTCACACAAGGTCATTATTGTTTTGAATACACTTCACAAGCATTCAAATTTACATTCACCTTAAAACACGTATTTTCCCCATAACATCTATGTCAACGTCTGTCCCACAAACTTACTGACCTGGATATCCACATAATGAAAGCTTAAACAGTTGAATAGCTTCGTTATCACATTCACAGATGCATTCAAATAAAACATTCAAGGGCCCTTTTCACCATAACGTAAAATAAACCCAAGGCATTAATAATGCCCCAAGAAGGATCCACATTTGACAACTTTGACAAAGTGTTAATAACGTTATATTAATAACGTTATGTTACGTACTAACATGTGTTGCAGTCATTATTTATATGAGTTTCTGTTTGTGTCCAACAGGCAACCAGTTACGAAAAATACATTCCGACAGTACAGAGTTTTAGGGAAAGGAGGCTTTGGAGAGGTGAGTGCATTCAATTTCAACTTTAAAGAGGCCCTTTTATGCTGTTTGGGGTGTTGCCTTTCCTGTAGTGTTATAGGTTTAAGTGCATGTAAATGGTCTGCAAAGGTTTGAATCCCAAAGTTCCCTCCAGACGGAGTTTCTCTCCCCCCCGCCCCCCTCCCCGCCTAAAACGCCTCCATTGGATTCCTTTTTGAACAGCATGGAAACATGTAAAAGTAGAGGCACAAAATAAAATTATGAACCTGAACATTTTCATAATATGTCCTCTAAATAATTGTATTTTTTTTTTATTCGTAAAACACAAGGAAGAGGATATTATCTTATTGATAAGTACAAATAATAAATATATGAAAAAGAAAAGGGTAAGGGTTAGAGAGAGGCTGAGATGTATAAAGAAGTCACTACATTCTTTACATGTATAATGAATGATTCAATGCAGGACAAATCAACTTTTATTCCACCGTAGATTATGCTGGCTCCTTCTGGACGAGTCGGTAATAAGCTGCATCATCCCTCCGTTTTTTCCAAATTAGGCTCATTAAGGCGTTTCAGAGGTAGAGCTGTGTTAGAGCTGTATAGTTTCTAAGTAATGGTGGTTTATAGCACCACACACTGGACACAAATATCAGAGTAGGAAGAGACTTTACAAGAGTATTACATTTCTATAAAAGACGGCATTGATCAGATGAGGAGATAAATCAAAGTGTTAAATGACATAACATCAGGAGACGGGCTCCTCAGCTTTACTCTATTTATTTTAGGCTCTGAATTACCAGATTTGTTGATGATAATGTGATATACTGTACATATGGTTTTACTGTGAACCTTCTAACAAAGTAACAGAAGTTAAGCAATTAGGCTTTTTTGTATCCACACAAATATCTGATAATTGTTGCATTAACTCAAATAACTAGAGTTATAGTAAAATGTTAGTATTTTCCCTCCTACAAATCCAGTTGCTAAACTGCATCTATGAACTGCATCTAAGAGGTTCAGTACCAAACTGTTATGTTGTAACTCTTGCAACAAGTCTTCCAACTTAATGGAAGCGCAATGCTTATCTTCTTATGCAGTGTGTGCAATGAATACAGAGTATTATAAAAACTCTGGTGGTTATTATAAACCATGTTGGGTACAGAGAAAGAGGACAGTGTAGAAATGGATGAGAAAAAAAAGAAAGATAAGGGTTAAAGATAGTTTAGATGATATTGAAATCCTGCAGTTAAAAGGCATGCCACTTTCTCTAACAAGGCGCTAATTTTTAACACCCTGAGGTGCCATCCTGTGTTACCTTATGATCTGATCATTTACAATCACAGTCTTGTTTGGGGTTAGAAATGAGAAGTCACAAGATGGGCTTGTTTTTATTAAAGTGGACCTATCATGCTATATTTGAATAATATAGTGTAGGACCATACTTATATAAGGCATAAGGAATATTTATACTTTTTATTTTTCAAAATACCAAACAGATCATGCATTTTAGCCATTCCTCATTTCGCTCAATTTAACACTGTCTTTGCATGGGCTGATTCTGTGAGAACAGCACCATCTACAGGCCTGGCATATGTACTACAGCGTCTCCACCGCTTTCGAACGGCAATGTCCGTGGCTGTCTCCTCCTGATTAGTCGAGTTGGCCCAATAGCCGTAGCGCCACTTCAGTGACGTCATAGAAGTGTTCAAATCTGGATCAGTCTGTATCAGATCCGTTGCTGCCCCTTTTTAAGAGTTTTGGGTATGGAGGAAAATAGAGAGGGTTGTGTTTTCTGACACTTGGTGAGTTCCCTGGAATACCGGGGACGCACATTCATGTATAAAAGACGTACAAAAGTGCATTTTGCATGATAGGTCACCTTTAAGAGAGGGTGTATTGTTTATTTTGTGGCTGCAGTTTTTTATGGACATACATGCATGGAAATAAGAGTTGTCAACTTTTTTCTCATTTCTACACTGCAGGTGTGTGCGTGTCAGGTACGGGCCACGGGGAAAATGTACGCTTGTAAGAAACTGGAGAAAAAGAGAATAAAGAAAAGGAAAGGGGAGTCCATGGCGCTCAATGAGAAACAGATCCTGGAGAAAATCAACAGCAGATTTGTAGTAAGCATCGCATTTTATTCATACCCTTTTGTACCTCCTTTTGTCACTTGAATTGCATTTATGGTTTGACCCAAATTTAATTTCTTGTTTTTTGTTTCAATTTGTGATCTGTGCCATGTTATAAAAGCACTTTGAACTGCACCTCATGTATTAAAAGTGCTATACAAATTCAGTTTATTATTAATATTATTATTATTAACAGTATGTCGACCAACAGTTTTTTAAATCAGTGTCCCATTTTTTTAACAGTTTTTTAATCTTAAGCAGATAATGTTTCCCTTGGAAATGTACAGGCAAGTCACCCCCAAACTTGCTGGTTCCTTCTTAAAAGTGTGATTCAGTAATTTCCTACAACAGATTGCCACCGTAGTTTTTAGAATTGTTTTACACATTGAGTAAGGAAAAGAGCATTTGTGTCGGGGACTATTTTCAGTGGTGGATTAATATACATTTGACGCTCTAGTGATATTTTAGTTTTCTCAAAATGAGACGACTGAAACTCTTCACCTATTCCTCCTGAGTGACTCTCTGTGTGTGTCAATGGGACGTGATGTCTGCAACATTAACAACTGCAGTAATTAAAAGACAACCTGGTCATTTGTCCCGTCTCTGGTCGGGTTTGATTCTCTGCCAGCAACCTTTGTACAGCTTTTTTTTAAATTTGAACTCAGTTGACTGGTTCAGGCTCCCGGGGCCGCCGCGGAGTCCCTCAGGGGTCAACATGGCTCCAAAGCAAAAACAGAAAAACAACAGACTTCATTAAAGAATTTATTTTTAAGAGGTTTTGGCAGCAGGTAGCATTTTTAGTTGTTGGGACGTGCACATAATGGTGATGTCAGCCTCCTAAACATCCTACATTTAAGGGAAAATATTCCAGGACATATTTTAGATAGATTTAGTAAATGTTACTTTAATGCGCTATAATTATGTAAGGCCTCAGTTATTGACTGTTGATAATGAACCTAAAATAGAATTATCAGCAATGTCTGCATAACCCTCATCTATTCAGAGCATTTTAGCCTGTTTTAGCTTATTATTTAGCTTTTTATGGCTCTACTATATACAGTATGTGATCTTTAAATTTTTTCAACTGTTACACAACATCTGAAAATATTAAATAAACAACCATTACTATTTCCGAGAACCAGAAAAACGTCTGTAAAATGATTTTTCCAGAATCAGAATTCATTTATTCATCCAACAAAGGGGAAATGTACGTTGTTACAGAAAGTATAGATAGAGATGAAGAAAATCAAACAATATAATATTTTTTAAAAAGGCCTGCACATAGTATTTAAAATAACAATTCTTACAATTAATAAAAATTATTACAATTTATGTCTAAGCAACAGTCCAAAACAAAACAATATTCATGTTACTCTGAAGCTAGAATTATGATAGGTTTAAAATGTTTGTGTTATTTATCAAAACACAAGTATTTTCTTATGACTAAACTACCAGAACTATATGATTTGAAGATGTAAGCTCTCTAACATCTCAGCAGCATTTACACCTAAAACATTTCCCTGCATTAACACATCACCTTCCTCTGTCTGTTTCCAGGTCAGTTTAGCGTACGCCTACGAGACGAAGGACGCTCTTTGCCTGGTGCTGACCCTGATGAACGGGGGGGACCTGAAGTTCCACGTCTATCACATGGGCGACGCCGGCTTCGACGAGAAGAGAGCCGTGTTCTACTCTGCAGAGATCTGCTGCGGGCTGGAAGACCTGCACCGAGAACGCATCGTCTACAGGTCTCTGAGCCCCACGGAAGATTGTCTAATGATCTGTCCTCTTTGGCCTCTTGTCTAACTGGCTCTTCTCTTCATTCTGTCACACAGAGACCTCAAACCAGAAAACATCCTGCTGGACGACCACGGTGAGTAGCATTATTAAGAAGCATATTTAAATCCTTGAAATCTCAAATACAAATCTAAAAACAGACATCTGAATTTGGTTAGAACCAGTAGCCGAAAGTAACTAGGTACATTAACTAAAAGGTGGGGTAGGTAAGTTTGAGAAACCGGCTCGAGATACACTTTTTGTTATATTCCATGGAATGCTCTTAACATCCCGATAGCAATTAATATCTTAAGTGCTTTTTCAAAAAATCCATAAAAATATTTCATCTGTGGAAGCCGTAGTACTGTAAAAAGCACGACGGATCATTTTAGCCGGCCCGGCTAAAATAACTGGATGGCCTACCTGCCTGTCAGCCTTCCATCTGTGCACAAACTCAGAGGTCTAAAGGCAGTGTTGGAAGGTAATGAAGTTCATTTACCTAAATACTGTCCTTAAGTACAATTTTGAGGTACTTGTACCCTATAGCATTTTCAGTTTATGCTGCTTTATAATTTTACTCAACTACATATTGGAAGCCAATATTGAAATGTGTACTCCTCTACATTTACTTACAGGTGGTTTTTTGCATGTGTGTGTGTCTTTTGGGCCTAATTTGTGCAGTTGTAACAGTAAACCAACACCAAAGAGAAAAACTGAATTTTCCCTCGAGATTAATAAAAGTTCATCTTAATCTTAGTTGCTTCATCATTTTAGATTATTCCTTTATAGAAAAGATGAATTCAACAATAAATAAACATTGGCATATATTTGTAGATTAAGATATGCAGCAGCAGTTTACAAAGTAATTTAAATTAGCACCACTAGCATAAGCGTTATGAACACATTAATGCCTCCATCATCATAATCCAGGTTATATAGGTTAACATAGGTTGTGACATGCATTGTTACCTGTCTGTGGGATGTTAAGGATAAGATAAGATACAATAAGAACTTGATCTGGTACATTTACTGTGACCGAAGCTAAACAAAGCTCAATAGTCCTTTTTTAAAGAAATACATTCTTGAGATTTTTTCCACTGAATCACCAGAGGGCACTCTGACTCCGGCAGAACTGATCCTGAAACCAGAAGCTTTCAGAGAAACTCTCCTCCCTCAGAGTCTCTGCTAAATATTCTCATTACATCCCACAGTTAGACCTGATCTAAAACCACATTAAAATATCAGAGACAAACAAGAATGCAATGTTCTAGTATGAGAACATAAAGATGATACGATAATATTTCATTGTCGGATCGAGTTGGTCATTTTTCTTGCAAATAAAGTCCTAAGACTAATATCCACCCACAAAACCAGATACCTGAGTTTGGTTAGAACAGAATCAATATGTTTCCAAGATTTGTTAAAAAGTATTACATTATGTATGATCAGGATAAAATAAATGGAGCTTCAACAAAACTGCAAACCATTACAATGCTTAGTTATTAATAATAGAGCTAGGGTAAATAGATTCATCATTCAAGTGGACGTTTTTTTCCTTAGTTTATGAAGAAAAACTACTGCAACTCGAGTGTAAACATGGATCATTTGCTCAGATAATGTGGCTCTCCATGCATATCCGCTGGTGGTTGTAACTTACATTCTGCACAAAAGGAAACAAACATAAAGGTCTTTATCACATGATCCTCTCAGGGGGATTCATGAATCACAAGATACAAATCAGAAACACGAAAGTGAACATTATACAGCCTATTAAGAGTTGAATTGAGACGTGTATGAACCCAGCAATGTTTTGACTGACAAGAATAATAGAGCTAAAATAACCAAAAAGTCAGTACTTAAAACATAATTCTATTTATCATTTTCTGTTTGGTATCAGAATTAAATAATCCAGGTACAAGAAAACATAGAATCAATGTCCCTTTACTGTATATACACCAAACAGTCAAGTCAAGTTTATGTATATAACACATTTAAAACAACATTATCATTTTCTGAATCAGATTTGTGTGTGTGTCTTCAGGCCACATCCGGATCTCAGACCTGGGTTTAGCGGTTCATGTTCCAGAAGGACAGACCATCAAAGGACGCGTGGGAACCGTAGGCTACATGTGTAAGTAACCTCCGACCTTTATCCAGTTCTACACGTCTTTAATAGAAACTGTTTCCCTACCTCTGCTTTATTTCGACCAATGACGAAATATGAGACATTGCTTTGTGATCAGCTTTAATATATTACTGCTTAGAGTTATTATACATTTTTTCATTTTGTCTTTCAGTTTTATCTTTGTTTTCTTCTTGTTTTCTTTGTTGTGATTCATCTATGTCATATGTAAATATAGGAATTTTTACAAAATATTACCTGAGTATTTTCATTTTATACTACTACTCTACTACATTTTGGAAGCAAACTTTTGTACTTATTACTCCACTACATTTATTTGACAGAATTATTATTATTATTATTATTATTATATTATTATTATTTATAATATAAATGCAGAATACTAAGGGGAAAAAGATGAAACAATCCAATTCATATTTAAGTAACTAAAACCATGAGTGGGTTACATGTGGGAGTACTTTTACTCCTAATACTTAAAGTACATTTTACTTATCGTACTTAAATACTTGTATACGTAATACGTATGTAAAAATATGACTTTATATTCGGAACAAAGCGCATCTGTTAAATGAAATAAGATATACTTTATTGATCCAAAATTGGGAAATGTTTTCGTTACAGCAGCATGTTAAAACAAAGGTATTGCACATAATCTGGAAAACAAAAAGAGTAGAAAATAACCAAACAGAAAATATAGAATACAATCAAACAGAAAACAAAACAGAACAGAAAATGTAAATATATAAAAGTTGACCGTGAAAGGTACAAATCTGACAATAAACACTTTGAAGGGCCAAATAACAGCAAACATAATTTAAAGTAGGATATTATTTATATGAAGTTTGCTACGAATGGCATATCAATTAAATGTAAATGTATACATAAAAGGTAAACACATTTTTAAAAAGACACAGAAAAACAGGAATAAACATTATTTCAACGCAGAACTTTTAGATTCTGTGTTTCTGAATGACCTTCAGCTCCAACAAATGCCTTCCTTCCCCCTCCAGCTCCGGAGGTGGTGAAGAACGAGCGCTACACGTTCAGCCCCGACTGGTGGGCGTTGGGCTGCCTGCTGTACGAGATGATCGAGGGCCAGTCTCCCTTCCAGCAGAGGAAGAAGAAGATCAAGAGGGAGGAAGTGGAGCGGCTAGTGAGGGAGGTGGAGGAGGAATATTCCAGCAAGTTTTCCGAGGACGCCAAGTCCCTGTGTCGAATGGTGGGTGGGATGTTCCACTCGTCTCGAATGTGCTCTGGTCGATTGCTACCATCTGCTCGCGCTCAATAAATTACCATATCCTAATGAACCTAGGAAAAACTAAAACTGCAAAGAGGAGATGCTTGTTTACAACAATGTGACACTATTTTTTGGATACTGAGGATACATGTTTCTGTCACTTTGGCTGCATCCCTTTCCTCACAGCACCCTGCAAGGCTCCGTTACACAATGTTGGTACTGCATGTACTTCATCTCTAGTTGGCAAACAAGCTTCCTCACTCCCTTTTTGTGTTTTCATCACTTTAGATTGTGTTCACACTGACATTAGCACTGCACAAAAAGAAGTGCAGACTGCTCATTCTTGTCACCAGGACAAAGAGCTTCTTTAAAAAGACAGTTTCCGGTCAAAAAAAGTTTTTCATGGTTCAAATCCTGCAGCAACAACAGAGATTGTCAACAAGCAACACACTTAGATGTCAAATCAACCAAAGAAATGTATTTTTTATCTTCATCTTTTGATAAGTATCTGAAATTCTGTCCCCTCAATATCAGATTTTGACATGGTCGGGCAGAGCAGGTTGGACCCAAGTGCAGGATGGACAACGGTTTTAACGGAAAAATACCTTGATTAAAGATTTTAAAACATAAAAAATCAAGGAACCAACAGAGACCCACAGAAAATCAGAACACATGAATACATGCAGAACTATTCAAAAGGATAAAACACAGCTGGGGAGAGAAGGAAAAGCACAAGGCCATCAGGTGAACAGAATCAGGTGATCAAACAGGAGGGAAATCACAGGGACAGGAAGTAAAAGCAGACATAACACATATTTCCCAACCAGGGTGTCGAAAATGTAAATGTTCCCAGTCTTATATCATTGGACATTCCAGAATCATGACGACACTACAGTAGTTCACACCTTATTTGTTTTATTTGTTTGTCTAATTTGTAACTTCCTGTTGTTTTGTATTCTCTAGCTTCTGGCCAAAGAGCCCTCAGAGAGGCTGGGATGTGAGCAAGGGGGAGCCTCAGAGGTCAAAGCCCATCCCCTCTTCCGCTCCATCAACTTCAAACGCCTCGCTGCCGGCATGCTGCAGGCGCCATTCATTCCTGATGTGAGTCCACCGTATTTACTCAAGTTCACTGAGAAAGCTTTGTGCTACAAAACTGTCAATTTTAAGATGACTTATTCTTACTCAGGGAGTGACATGATAAAATAAAGAACTTTGATAACATATTATGTTTAAGTTTTATCTCTGAAGTACAAATATGGATCCAGGTAGTGTTAGCACAGGTGTAGCTATTAGCGTTAGCAATGATAGCACAGTTTTAATGACTAAAATCAAGAATAGGCCGGGGATAACCAATTTAGATTAGATTAGATAAAACTTCATTAGATTAGATTTTGTTGATCCCAAATTGGAAAGTTATTCTGTTGCAGCAGCATGCTAACAAAGCATTGCACTTATGTTAAAAATATAATCAGTAAATATATACATATGACTATAAACAGATACTTATCCATAGAATTTCTATAGAATACACAATTTTAAATATACAGAATGATAATTATATCACAATATTAATGCTGTCAAAATTATCGCGTTAACGGCGGTAATTCATTTTTGGAATTAATTGCGTTAAATCGAATGGTTAAAATATTTAACGCATTTAACGCATGCGCAGAATGGCCCGCCCCATACATCCCACCAGTGGCAGCGCCAGGGTATGGCTGGAGTAGGCTACAGCCATACCAAGAAATGGCTTAGCCCCACCGTGAAAAATGATGTTAAAGTAAGCAAAATAAAGTCCGCCAACTCGCGCGGAGTAAATTGCACAGACAGCAGTTAGTAAGATTGATTTCAGTAGCCACTTGTCTGGAAATACCTAAGACTAGAAACGGTTTTGAAAACTTTAGTCACGTAGTGATCGTCTTCTCAATAGAACATCTTTGATAATGTCTTCTGGCCAATCAGAATCAAGATAACGGCGTGGTGTTGTTGCAGGAAGTCCCGACGGAGAATACTTTTTCTGTAGTACATCTCTATATACATCGATACAACATTACGTGTTGATAGAAATCAACACGTAATGAAATAAGACCCCACGGTTTGATGATTGATAGGTGTGTGGGCTGTCTTTCATTTTGACACACAGAACAATGTTATAATAAACATACATACATACTGTATGTTAAATGGATATATCCGCCTTCTTTAATTTATCTTTCCATTCCCACAACAATATACATAAAGAAATGGCATATTTTGGACATAGTTCGGATGGTGATTAATCATGATTCATTCATTTTTAAACTGTGATTAATCTGATTAAACATTTTAATCGTTTGACAGCCCTACACAATATATATTGATGGTAATCTATGCGTGACTAATAACGTAAATAACACTATAGCTGCAAGAGTAACATTAATGATCAACATATCTAAATCTTCTTAATCAGTGAGAAAGCTAATTTGTCTCAAAATGTCCTTTTTTAAATGGAGCGCTGGAAATTCAATCTTCTCTACAGCACAGAAAGTGGAATGAATGGATCTGATTAATACACATGTCAGTGAGGCTCATTATACGGAGCATCATTAACGTGCAAGGTGTCTGCCACAGGAAGGATTCCCCACAGTGAGCGCACTGTTGCACGTTTAATGTTGGAAGATTTGATAAACATTTATTATTCCCTGTAGGGAATTTCAGGTGTGATGCAGCAACAGCAATAAGAGTTAAACACAGGATAGGACAGATACACAAGGGCTATTTGAACAACAATAAGAGTAAACATGTAAGTAATAGGATGAATAACTGATTGAATTGTTTGTTTGTAGTTTTGTTTCTGTGATTCTATGTGTTTTGTTTTACCTAAAAAAAAGAAATACAAATACATAGATTTGATATGTTAATTTATTTTTTACCTTTTTTCTACTTTCTATTCCTCTTTGTTCATTCATTTTGCTTTTAATTGATTTGGTATTTGACTTCATGTTTACACTGGAAAGGACCTTTTTAAATCCTACTTTTAAACCTGGTGTGTGTGTGTGTGTGTGTGTGTGTGTGTGTGTGTGTGTGTGTGTGTGTGTGTGTGTGTGTGTGTGTGTGTGTGTGTGCGTGCATGTGTACTGTGTGTGTACATGTGTATATGTATGTATATATAGAATCTTGTTTATTTATGTGTATTATATACATACACACATGGAAACCCACTTCCTAGGTTTGCAGTTCAAATGCTTTTAGTTGTGGTTCTTATAAACACCCTTATTCAGTTAATCCTGGCATCTTAAATGTAAATGTGTTTTAAAAGTTATTCGTCCGTGTGTCTGCAGCCGCAGGCCATCTACTGTAAAGACGTGCTGGACATCGAGCAGTTCTCCACAGTGAAAGGAGTGGAGCTGGAGCCCAAAGACGCGTCCTTCTACTGCAAAGTGTCCACCGGCAGCGTGTCCATCCCCTGGCAGGACGAGGTGAGAGACATTCATAAACACAACATCTGCAGTAACATCAGATTCGAATACCTTTGTGCTAACGGGACTTACAGTAGGGCAGGGCAATATCTCCATACTATATCAATATCGCGATATTTTTAACTAGATAACGTCGTAGAATTTGGATATGTTGATTAATCATAGGTTTTGTCTGTTTTTAAAGGATTTTCCCAACAAAACATAACTGATATTCATTTATCAAAAATATTATTGCAGGACATTTTTTTTCAAGCAGTTTTGTTTCAACTATTTAATACCCCTGTAGAATCGATTAAGGGTTGCAGGTTTTCTTTTTCTTTTTAAATAGGGATTTTTGCCACTCTTGTCCTGATCTCTCTTTGTTTTCAACTCTCAATCCAACAAACATCAAAGATTTAGAGAAGCTAAACTCGTATGCCATACATTCAATTTAAAGATAATGAAGTGAAATCACATTATGATTTGTTAAACCTTTTAACAAATGTACTTTATATGTCTCTCTGTACACAAAGAATGAGGTTGAGTATTTTCTCTGCAGATGATCGAGACAGAGTGCTTTATGGAGCTGAATGTTTTCCACCAGGACGGGACGGTTCCTCCAGACCTGGACTGGAGGGGACAGCCGTCTCCTCCGCCCAAACAGGGTCTGCTGCAGCGACTCTTCGGCCGGCAGGTCAGTGCACCCCCTCCCTTCAAAACACCAGCATACTTTTACATTTAAACATCTGTTTGCACCAGCTAGAGATCAGAGAGGTAATCAGAAAACATATATAATATATAACCTCATGTGAGAAGCCGCTTAGGCTGAAAAACGTCTCATTGTGACACTCCGCTCTCTGCCCCCCCCCCACCCCCCTGCAGGACTGCTGTGGTAACTGCAGCGACAGCGATGAGGAGCCCACCAGGCTGTGACAAACACAAACACACACACACACACACACACACACAGGATCTAATTTGTTTACAACTTTTGCACATTTGTATTTTTAACATAATACTATCTCTAAATGTCAGAATGTATATTTTCAACATAACCATAATGTTAAATGTTATTTAAAAAATAAAAAGTTGTGAAAAATTACTGGTTGACGCGTTCCAAACGAGGAGACGGGAACTTACGGAAGATGAACAGATATTTTTGTTTTTTGCTTTTGTTGATTTTTGGAAGACTTTTTTTCACATCCACTTAAACACATGTCCATCTCACTGATCTGGAAGCTGCTGCTGGAGCAGATCCACTGAAACGCTTGCTGTAAAAGTGCCTTGCTGTAGGGCACTGTGGCAGACTAACGGAGGACTGAGCGTACTTTCCCCACTTTGTCCAGGGAATCAAACCAGTGACCTTCAGCTCATGAACTCTGACCACTTTTCTTCTTCCTTCCATTCTGCTGAAAGAAACCTCACTGCTCTTTCTTCTATTTAACGTTTTAAAATGAACTTTGCTTGGTTTTTAAATGGAGATGCCAGGGCCAAGAATTTGTCTCTATCTGCAGATATTTTTATATCAATAGTATTATTGTTTTTCTTTGATTAAGGATTTCTTTACACTGTAACTTGCGTTAGTGCAGCTCCTCTTATTATTGTCAAGAGTGTGTTTTTCTTATAGATACAACAGTTGTTTTGTTCCTTTTTACAGAAACTCTGAGACTTAAATTAATCATTTTCATGCTCTGGAAAAATTAGGCTAACATTGGATTTTCACTAGGTTCATAAGTTTCAGTTTCTGGACTTCAGACATTTGTTTAGTCCTTTCATTTAGTCAGTTGTTGATTTTCAGATACATTTGACTGACAGAGCTACTCATTTTAAACCCTTTTTTGGTGAAAGATTCAGCACACAGTTTAATCTGTTGGAAGAATACAGTTGACATATTTGCATGTTGAGCTTACCAGCAAAACTTGTTATTCAAATAAGTCGATGTTCGATCAGAATCCTAGTATTTAGTTGCTACTTTCAGTAATTAGCATTTATTTAAGTTGCGTTCCAAACACAGCGTTTTGTTACCACTTGTCTCTCAGGGTTTCTGTAGAATGTATTCCTTTACGCAATTGTATCCTCTCTCCCTCTGTGTCTTTTCTTCATGAGCAGATGATGGTCGGATGATTCTCAGACTGTGCAGGTTTACATATGTTCTCCCTGCTGGTAGACCATGTCATGTATGTATGGGAGCAACAAAGAAAGAGTAACTCAAGCTTTGGGGATAAATCCTGGGATTGCAGGGAAACGCCTCTGTTGCAGTCTTCTTCAAACAGAATGGCCTCTGATTGTAAAGCTATTAAAATGAAATACCTCTGAATGTACCAATGGCTTTCATGTTATTTCTGAGGTTGAAGAAGACCGATGACAGACACCAGACGATATGGAACTAAATGTCTGGAACAATATGATTTAAAAACAACATCTGAGTTGCATCTCGTCTTATCTAACCATGCTGATTTATTTTTATTTGCTCAGGTTTTCAAATAGAAAAACATATCCCTGTGTGTGCAAGTATCCCAGCATGCATTTCTATCAACCAAAATAGCAAGATTTAAACCAAAACTATCTGCATGGCCAGATATGATTGCAGTTAGGAGATAAAAGTGTGTTTTTTTTCTCATTTGAATGACCTTATCTTTAAAGTCTAGAGCTGCAACTAACCATTAATTCATGAATTTTCTGATTGTTTATAAATCAGTCAATGAGCTGTCGATGAATATGTCAGGAAATCTTGAATGCTAGTTATAATAACAGCAGTTCTCAAATGACAGTCCAAAACCAAAAGATAAGCTTTAAATTATAATGTTTGAGATGATGGATTCAGCAAAAGTTTATAAATGTTTGCTCTAAAATGTACTAAATTAATTAACTGATTCTTTATAATTGCCCTTTTTTTTGATTGACTAATGGATTAATCATCAAAGTGTTGCAGCTCTAATACACTGTTTTTTGAAAAGCAGAATTCATCCTTTCAGATGTTTTTTTATATTTTTCCATCTTTGTCAATTTTTTTTGTTTAAAATTAAAAAACAATGGTCTGCTTTTTATAAATCTCTTTTGAAAAGGGATTCTTTTTGAATGTGTGTGTGCAGAGAATGGTCTATTGTTTAGTTTCCTTTGTATAAATCAGTCTTAAAGCCTGTCATACTTTGCATTCTGCTCTCTGCCTTTGTTCAGCCACAGAGCCCTCCACCAGTGTATTGTGAAAGCGGTTCATTTAAACCAGTTAAATTAGATCAAAGATGACAAAGTCCTTCCCATCCAAGGTGCCTTTTTGTGTTTAAAGGTTTTCCTCGCCTCTTTTTATACACACTGTGCTCATTCAAAGCCTGCTGCTGCGTCAGCGTCACTTCCTGTCTGTGGTGAATCTCTGTTTGTTGTCAAAACCATCACTCTGGATGTCTCTGTGAAAAGGAGGATGATGAGACTGAAGAACCTCTGGACTTAAAGACTGCTGTGGACTTTCTGGAGTCTCTGCTTTTATAAAAGACAGAGGTCAAAGGGGACATTTTGGAATCAGGAAAGCTCCCTAACATCCTCCATGGACGTGTGAATCAGAACTGCTGTGCTGTGTCTCTGCTGTCAGAAAATACTGTCCTTCATGTTATCTTTGTGTTGAGGATGCCCTGTAATCTGCCTTAAAGGATGATTCCACTTTATTACAACTTGGTCTTATTTAGTTTATTCATCATTTGTGCCAGAAACATTGTATGTGAAATTGTGAGATTTCAGATGAAAGATTTCTGTCATTTTTATATTTTTTCTGTGATCTCCTTGCTGCTTTGATGTGGAAAAGCTGGAAAAAAGCATTGTTATAATATCAAATTGAGATGATCTATGTAGAGTTGATCAGGGCGATCACAGTCCTGATGAAGATGAGCTGCATTTTAGAGACTTAATTAGCATAGGTCAAACATCCTTTCACTCTCATTGAATGGAAATTGAGAGCAAAAGGTTAGAGATTTAAGACAACAATGCTCAAAAGAAAGTCAAAAGAGGGTGTAACACCGGACTCCAGATGTCAAAACTTGAATTTCTTTCACTTCTGCTCGTATTTGTTCAAGAAATGAAGCAGGGTTTCAGGGGCGCAGCTCTG